TAGGGACACGGGAGTCGATGAAGAAATTATGCAGGCTATACAAATTATGGTTTTGAAGAAGCAGTTGCAATAAATAAAGAAAATATAGAAGAAGGTTCAGAATTATCTCAGCAAATTAAATTGATTTGTAAAGCTAAATCAGATGTATGAAAATTTGTAAATGAAGAAACTTATCAATGTTCTATATGTTTTAAAATATTTAAGCCAAAAAAAGCAACTACTTCTAATTATGCTTATTTGCAGCAAAAATATAATCTATTTAACTGTTTTATCTAAAAAGTATTCCCCAAAATTCAAGCAGAAAAACTTAAGTAATTACTAATAGGATTATTTTATACTTAAACTATTTAAAGTAATTGAAGAAAAAGCTTTTCATAATATGGTTCAAAATTGGATTTATTTATCAAATTCCTGTTCATAAAATTATTTACGATTTGATAAGAATTATTTTAATGGGCATTCAAGTAAAGTTGCTCTTATAGCTAATTTTTGAACATTTCTAAAAATAGAAATTTTATAGCTATTACTATTCATTTTATTAATAATAATTGAAAATTACAGCACTTTAAAGATTCTCATACTGGAGAAATAATTGCAATAATATATATAATTTACTTGAAGAATTTAAAATTATAACTAAAGTTATTGGATTAACTACTGATAATAGTGCTAATATGATTTTTGCAACAAATTATTTAAAAGATAAGATAATTTTAAATAATCTTTGTTATTATAGATAATAGCATATATACTTAATTAAGTTATTATAACTAGTTTAATGCTTTTAAAATATCTAATTAAAAAATTAAGAAAATTAATTAAAACTATTCGTAAATTAGCTAAAATTATCAAAGATTTAGAAAATATTGTAATATTAGATTAAAAATTTTTTAATTTCAATTCTGAACTGTAAGACAAGGTGGAACTTAGCTTATTAAATAGTTAAAAAAGCATATAAATTTTATATATTTATAAAAATGCTATTAGTTAAATATCTAAATTTGAAATTTATATACCAAATAAGAAGATTAGAAATTTGATTCAACTATTAAGCAATTTAATAATACTATTATTGAACTTTTATTACAAACATATTCAACAATTACACATGTACAAATAATTTTATTAGCTCTTATAATAATTTAGAACTTAATAAAAGATAAACTATTTATTACAAAATATTATTGATCTCTTTTTTTACTTGAAATCTACTAAGCCAATTTGATGATTTAACTATTATTAGAATTAGAAGAAACTCCTATATAACTTTCTTAAACTAGAAAAACCCTTTTACTTAGCAGATATAAAATTTGGTAAATCAACTTATTTGATTTATAAATAACAATATATGAAACTCCTGTAAAAGAATATTTTCTATAACTAATAGCAAGAATTGATTAACTTTAGTAGAAGATTCTTATTTCTCTACTTAAAATTAAGAACTAAAACTTTAAATTAAAGATTATCAAATGCTAAAGAATATATATTTAAAGTTTAAAGAAGGTTTTTATATATATTTTGAAATAAATTCAATTTAAAGGTATAGCAACATAGTGAAGTGGTAGAGTTGTTACTTCTCAAGCAGTAGATCTAGAGTTCAAATTACAGGAATAATAATATTAAATAATAGTTCTGTATTCAGTAATAATTGTCTTTTAGAATCTCTTGCAGTATAGGTTATACCTTCATTTTTTCCAGTGGATGTGAAGAATAAAGGCATTGTGACTTAAGTCACAATGCCTATATTTTCCATATTCATTGAAAAAAATGAAGGTATAACCTATACTGCAAGAGATTCATCTTTTAATTATTTGTTTGATATATGGTCTAGAATAGGAGCTTTGGCATACCAAATTAATATAATTATAATAATCAATACTTATTTGGAAGACCCAAATAAGAAGGTAGCCAAAACCTTTAGCAGTGCTACAAGAAAGACCAAATTTAGAAGTCAGAACTGAGACTGATAAACTGAGCAACAAAAGATCCTAACCAGCTTACTGGTTTAGAAAACCAATAAAGGGGTTTTACTTCTAGCAAACCTGTGGATTGGAAGTTCTAGGCTAATAAGCTTGAGCTAAAAAAATATATCAGATGCTTAAAAGAACTGAAATTCTAAATCAGAAAAAAGAATATATGCTAAAAAAGTATATACCAAGACAAGATAGGCTAATAACACTTAGAGCTGGTTAGAGTTGAATCTTCTAAGTTGTTAGTTAGAAGTAGAAAATAAACTATTTAGAGAATTACAGAAAAAAAAAAGTTTAAATGTAGTTATTAGAGTGAAAAGTGAAACTTATAAGAGTATAGTAATTATTTAACTATACTGTGAGTAGAATTTTTAGAAACTGCACAAAACTAGGTTGGCTAGAATAGAGTATAGAAGACTCTAGTAGATTTACCTTGAGAATACCTATGCATCTGCTTAATAAAGAAATATAAGCTAGTAATTAGTAAGTACAAACTTAGAATAAGATACAGGTGTTCTAAGACAAGACTTCAAATTCCAGTGCAGCTAGTAGAGATTGAAACTGTTTTAAATATTCGACTTTATCACATCAAAATTTGAGTTTATCGCTCCAAAATTTGAGTTTATTACATAAATTATTAATGATTGATGTAATAAACTTGAATTTTGGAGTAATAAACTTAAATTTTGACAAGATAAACTTGAATATTTAAAACTGGTTTCAACCTCTAGCAGCTAGCAGATATTAGTGCATAAGTTACTAGAAGAGTGCTATAGAAATAGTTATGATCCGAGAGTTTAAATGAGTAGTTCTAGCTTGGGCTGTAGATACAGGCATCTAGTGTAGATTGTGCTAAAAGTACAGTAGCTAGTTGTATTTTAATTGTAACTATATTAGAATTACTTGTTAATAAAATAGTGCTAGGCCAAAAAGATTACCTTAATATTGAAAAAAAATAAATAAATAATTATTTTGTATATTTATATATAATATTTGGTGAGTAAACTCATTAAGTTTGTAAATACGTAACAATATTCAGAACTCCTGTAAAAAAACATGTTTTATAACTATTATTAGGATTATTAGATTATAATTAATATATTAATTGATATATTAATATGAATATAATAAATTTTTTAATATTAACCAAACTATAATGAATACTATTATTCCATTTTTACTTATTTAAATTTAATATCTTCTTAGTAATGAAGAACTAAAACTGAAAAAATTTTTTATATTTAATAAATAGTAAAAATAATTAAATTATTAAAAAAAGGAGTTGATATAACTAAAGTTTGGTTGATAGAAAAGAAATTTTTTTTATTGAGTTTTCTAGATAGTATAACATCATCAATTGTGATACTTGAGCATTATTACAATTATTATCAAATCAATTAATTTAGATGCTTGAGAATAGCTTAAAAGTATTCTCAAGCATTAATCAAAATACAATTTTATAGTGATCTAAATAGTACACAAGTATTATAATATAATTTTAGCTATTGCCATACTATTTTGAATAAAAGTCAATAATACAAATAACAATTTTATTGAGATATGCTCAAACTTTGCTATTACTATAATTTTTTAATAATTGTAATAATGCTCAATTGCAACAATAGGTCAAAATAAAGATCTCAATCACAAGTTGAGAGTATTTTAAATAGTTTATTGAAAATTTTACAAAAAAATATAAGTTGATAATAAAAATTTATAATAAAAGTATAAAAACACTTGAGCAATACTTTATTCATTTTAATATTTATAAAGTTTTGATAAGTTAGGCCAAAAAAAAAGGTGGTTAGGGACAAAATGTTTTTTAAACTCACTTCTCATTTTTTACTATTTAAAATTTTTTTCATGTAATACATAAACTACCTTATATGGGCACTGTTCAATAGAAAGAAAAAAGATTTACTTTTTACTAAAAATTTTTATTAGCTTATTAAATAAAGTAATCAGATTTATAATTCTAATTAAAAGTTAAATTATATTGGCTTAATAATTTTTTGAGTTTTACATATTTTGTCACTCACCTAACTAGACTAGTGCCAGTTTCTGAGGTCCACTCAAAGGTTATTTCCTCTATACGACGGTCAACATATGGGATAATGCCTAACTGTCACGTGCTCACCAGCTTTTGTCTAGGATCGAGAATATTAGTCTTTACTAATATGGATGAACAAAGAGAATTAGTGTTGCATATTTCAGAAACAAGGTTCTGAGAGGCTTGGGGCTCCTCAGTTCTAGATACTGTTATCAAAAACCATATTCAGCCTGAAAAGGTTGAGCTACAGGATATTTGCTTAATAATGTAATTGACTAGATAGGTCAAGTTGCAATCAAGAATTTCTAACATGATTAAACTAATAATGTAATACTAATTTCTGATGTAACTAAAGTTCTAAATGGTGACACTTCAGATTATCTTAGCTAGAAAGGTAGGGCTATAGAATCTTACAAATGCATTTAATCCGTTAGATCAAGCTGCAATTATAATCAAGGGGCTACTATTTAGAATAAAGGCTGTATTTGGCCTGAAAAGGTCGAGCTACAAGATATTTGCTTAATAATACAATTGACCAGACAGGTCAAGTTGCAGTCGAGAATTCTTATCAGGATTAAACCAATAATGTGATACTAATTTCTGATGTAACTAAAGTTCCAAACTGTGATAGTCAGATTGTCTTAGCTAGGAAGGTTGGGCTATAGAATCTTACATATGCATTTGATCCATTAGATCAAGCTGCAATTATAATCAAGAGGCTACTATTCAGAATAAAGTTGTATGAAGTAATAGTTCCAAGTAGCTGCTTGTTATGGGGGGAGGGAGGGCTCAATTAAGCTAGACTTTTAAGTTGAGCACAGCAAAGCATAAAACTGAGAAACATCAAAACAATTGTAAGCCTATAAATAACTTACTAGTGATCGACAACCGACATAAGTGTAACCTATTCTCCTTATGACCTCATAATAATCAAATGATCTGTGTAACTAGTGTCGATCACAGGATGGTTATACGTTCGTGACAAAAGAGCTACTTGTGACTTCGTCTCAAGTAGCTAGCATAATCTTTATCATCTAGTATTGTATATTGACCTGGTGTGACACAATTTTTTACATAGTGAAAAAATAAAAATCACGTGCATTACACAATTGTTTACATCACATGGTAAT